TATACTTAAGGAACAGCGGATCTCACGGGCGTACAGGTTTGCTTTATATTTTACAGCAATTAATTTTCCTGTTTCTACCTGCTGTTGCTCTTCTTATACAGCATGTTATACCATTTTTGTTTCTACCTGCTACCGTACCATACAGCATGTTATATTATTCATGTTTTTACTTGCTACTGTTCTTCTCGTATAGCATGTTGTACTACTCTTGTTTTTGCCTACTACTGTTCTACGTGCATTCTACTGTTTGTTCCTGCATCGCACACTTTTACATTTTATAACTTTAAACATGTTTACCTTTTTTTTTTTATATAGGATGTTTAGAGAACTACAATCATAGGGCCGTTTGATTTGGCATTATAACTGGACAACCTAGAAAACTTAAACTCGTCATGGCAAGGAATTTGGAGCTAGTACGGTGGGCAGCACGGTCATCTTCAACAGCATAACACGTCTTCCCCAGCAAAACCATCCTTTTTCCTAGAAATTAAACAACAATCCATAGGATTTCGAGGTTGTTCGCCCAGCGTGACATAAATCCTCCATCTTTTCTTTAGGCATTCGTATAGCTCTGTCGTACGATTTAAGCCCTAAACTCGTTATAGGTTCCGAGGTTGTCGTCCGATACGACATAAACCCTCATATCTTCTAGGCAATTTGTGTGACCCTGTCACGCAAATATAAGCCCTAATTAAATAAAAATTGACAGGATGAAACACTTTAATAATTTCTTCTTAAAGCTGAAGCCAAACCATAGGGTAGACTGGGAAGTCACTGAGGTTCGCCTCAGCACATTTTTCATTTTCATTTTTATACAATTTACTTGAGTTAAATGCTTACTTTTCTTTTTTCTTTATTTGACTACTTTATACATACATTTTTCACCATCTTTAGTATCTAATATATTATAAAGATCACTAAAAATAGAATTTTTAGTTTCACGGGTTGTTCTCTTAGACTCCCTACAAAATATTTTATATTTTATTCGGTACTCTAAGCTTTTACATTTAAATCAATTTTTATAACACAACTTATTTTATCTTTTCTTGCACATTATTATTCCACCACCAACTATTTTTATTTATAGAAATATTTACTTTCGATTCTCCAAGTATATATTTTATCATTTTTTTTATAGTATTTGTTACGTTATCCCACATAAGATTTGTTTTTTCATAAACATCCCAAATCTTGAAATCTTGAAGTTCACTCATAAAAATAATTTAATTTGTCTTTTAGGTGGCTCCATCTAATTCTATGGCAAAGATTCCTAGTATTCTTTGTTTTACAATTCTTCATCTTAAAATCTAAGTACTTAAATTCTCACTTGGAATGACATTACAATCTTTACATTCTCGACGATATCTTCTTCTTATAAGAAAATAATCAATTTATATTCTATTATATTCATTCTTATAAGTAATAATATGCTCATCTCTTTCTTTGAATAAAATATTAATAATAGTAAAATCATACGCTAAAGCAAAATCTAATATGACCTACCTTCTTCATCAATCACTCCAAAACCAGAGTCACCATGAATATTTCTAAAATTTTCTACCACTCTACAGATATATCCATTTAAAACCCCTCCAACAAAAATTCTTCCTTCAAAAAGTATGATTTGTATTAATTCTTCTAGGTCATTCTAGAATTATTCTTTAGGACCTATATCTAAACCTATTTGAGGAGCATAAACATTCATAATATTAAAAATCTTAGTATCAACAATAATCTTAAAGGGTATAATTCTATTTCCAATTATATTAATTTTTATAATAAAATTTTTCAAACTCTTATCTATAATTACACCCAGACTATTTCTAGTGTGACTCCTACCTGAATATCAAAGTTTAAAATCTAAGCTATCAATCATTTTTGTCTTTTCTCCAACTCATTTAGTTTCTGAATAACATTCTATGAACCAATATATCAACTAATTTCATTAATTTATCTATGAGAGTACCTATATTTCAAGATTTTATCCTAATATAGTTTCATGGCTAACTTCTTTACCTGCATATGTTCATAACGTGGGAACTCTCGCTTATTTGACAATACATTCGGGCATCGGTGTAACTTGCACATTTCTCACTGTATTCAGATCATACAACACATTGTTTCCACGAGACGTCCTATCATTTACAGAAAAATCAAAAGGATTCATGTCACTTAAAAGACTAATGGAAGGTCCAACACTTAAAAATTGATTGAAAAAAATTTATGGTCACACAACGCATTGTTTCCACGAGACGTCCAACACTTAAAATTTATGGTAACACAAGAATACTCACTTTATTCAGGTCATACAACGCATTGTTTCCACGAGAAGTCTTATCATTTACACAAGAATCAAAAGGATTCATGTCACTTAAAAGACTAATGGAAGGTCCAACACTTAAAAATTGATTGAAAAAAATTTATGGAAGCCCTTTTCACAAAGTATGTATTATGCATTATGGAACTACATAGAAAAGATTATGATTAAAAATATGTGCGGTGAGTTCAATTGATTGAAAACATTGATGATAAAAAATAATTATTCACCAAATTAGTTATTATTTTCAATATAATCATAAATTTATTAAAGTTATTGGCATGCGAAAGAAGAGATATTTTATGAGAGAAATAACTCAATACACTAATGCAATAGTTGTAATACTAAGAATTGATGCCTAATAGAGAGTTGAATCAAGAAACTTCTGTTTAACGAGCAATAGATACACGTCGGAGCTCACATTAAGGGTCACTCATTAGTCTACTTATGTTATTTCAATTAGTTGTTGAGGTTCTTAAATAATATTACAAGGTCGTTCAAGCAATAAGCAAAGAATTGAAATATGTGTTATTGAATTCTATATAGTGCTTTAATTTTATTTTTTGTTCTGCATTTGATGAAAATTATATTGGGTATAAGAAATGAACTTTTTTAACTATCACAAAAGAATGATCAAGCTATCACAAACATCATGACTTATGTTAAAGTTTTAAAATAAAGACTTCAAAAAAGGAAATATGATGGATAGACTTTAATTGAAGATGTTAACTCATTTTGTTTAAAAAATAATATGGTTATTTCAAATATGAAAAAAATACTTGTAATGCATGGCAAGCTAAGGAGCTATGCTAAAAAATTAAATAGTTATCAAGTAGAATTATTTTATTCTGCGATAGATATCCAATTTCAATAACTTATTATAAATTGAATGAGATAAATACTGAGTTCTTTCTATATAGCATATGAATCCATGTGATATATTTATATCTTTTGATAAGAAATGTCTATAAAGTCTCACCAAATTTTATCCTTAAGATTTTTCAAATATAGATATTCTAGTATTAGATAGTCAACTTAAAACATTCATTAGTGACAAGAGATCTAACGATACATTTTTGAAGTTGAAAGGAATTAGAGAATTTACACTAGAAAATAATGGAGACTAGAAATAAATTAAATTTATTCATAACTATAATTAGTTGTGAAGCTTATTTTGATGTTACCATTTGTTGCAACAAGAGGTGAACAATTTTTTCAATGTAAATATTGTAAAAAACCGTTTGTGCAATGTCATGTGAGAAGATCAAATGAATAATTGTCTAATGACATATATTGAAAAATAAAAATTTGATAGTGTTGATAATAAATTAATTATACAATGGTTTCAATATATGATGACATGATGAGAGAAATTAAAAATAACTCTTTTTGATATATATATAT